CCAGGCAGATGACTGCAAGATCCTTCATCTGAGGTGGTTCCAGAGAGGAAAGCTGCAGGTTGATGAGGGATCCCAGCTGTCTGCAAGTTGTGAGTATCGTGAAGGTGCAGGGGGAGGTGGACTTTGCCATGTCTCCAGTCGCACAGGAGGAGAGGACATTTCCTGTAAGAGCACTATCACTCCTTCACGACTACAGTTTTGGACTTTCAACAGTTTTAGACTCTTGGAGAGGACTGTAACGAGGTGGTAAGAGAGAACTCATATGCCATACAGCAGGGAATGAGAAAGATTAAAGTGCAGACAAAAGAAACTCATAATGGTGTGGCAGACGACCTGGCAAGGTGTGCCAAAGACTGAATAAGAAAGAAAAGGACTGTGGTATAATGGTGAAAGTAATAAAATGTTAATGTACACATTAATAAATGTTATATGCTGTGTATTCAAAGGCAATTATATGTAAACATTTTAAAGGTTATGATATGTTATTAAGTTTGCACCTGTATAGACAATGTAAGTGTTGAGATATGCTAATTGGATTGCAAATTTAATGTATTAGGATGTTGAATTATCGTTTATGTAAATGTTGTGGTAAGTATGAGTGTAATGTTGGGATAATGTAATTTTGTCAAGCTCCTTGTTGTTCATGAGAGGAAAGCACTATAGCGATTCCCCCATGAAACAACTTGTTAAAGGTGGAGGTATGTAACGTTCAGCCCTGCCCTCACCTGTCCGTCACAGCTGGGCAGTGGAACAGCAGCCAATGAAGGGACGGAAGGTGGTGCTAACGGGGGAGGAGCTGGGATATAAAGGGGTGTGTATGGTGTTTGAGAAATGAGTTTTGAGAGATAGAGATAGAGATTAGAGATTGGAGATTGAGATGAGAGTAAAAAGTGATTATTAGGAAGAGTGAGAGAGAAAGCCTGTCAGTGAGGGAAAGTCTGTGAGAGCTAGTGTCTGAGAAACAGTGATTGATTAATTGATTTTACACCTGTGATTTACTACTTTTATTTTTTTTGTGAATCAATAAACCTGTTTTGTTTGAGAGAAACCCTAGTCCTTTTTGATTTAAAGGATAGGTTGGTGGCAGCAGAGATTAAAGTGAAGTAGCAACCACTCTCTGAGGTTTGAGGGTGGCTGTTACAGTCAGCTACCCATTTTCTTTAAAGATGCTCCTGAAATCATCAATACCTGAGTGTCAATTAAGCTATTGATAGGCAAAATATGTCCTGGGACTGAGGATTTCATACTTCAGGTAACGCGTGATCCTCAGGGTTTGGGATCTGTGTCTTTGCTTTTCTACTGGAAGCAGGCTTTCGGGTCACACTAAAGGTTTCTTTGGGTATTGTTTGGAATTGGGCTGTATCGGGCACTGTGATCGTTTCATGATGCACTTGGAGACTGCCTTGAAGAACAGGTGAAACATGGCTTAATTTCTGAAATATGAAATTGTGTTGCTGAAAACTACCTCTGACCTTGGACAAAATGCAGATTCCTTGATATATGACAATTACAGCTGTATAAAAATCCATCATGAATGTACTGTAATGGATTCATTTGTCACTGAAGAACAATTCTACAGTACTTAATACATCCAGATGGTGGTGCTGTAGTTTTATAGGAACATTTCTTGGTGTACATTGATTGGTTTTGTAAACCTACCATATATAAAACAAGAAAGGCTGCGTTAAACATTTTTATGCATGGGAAACATTTTGACATTAAAGAAAATACTTCACTGCAATAAAAGGTATGAACACTCTGTGCATGGTACAGGATGTTGAAATGACTCTGTATTTCTCTGCAGGCAGGCTGGATCCTGCAACTGCCCATGTGTGCCACATGTACCCAACATATAGCAAAATGCATGCATAGATATTCCTTACACTGGATGATGCAGACTCAGAAGAAAGGTCATACCAGCTGAAAGATTCTGGAACGTGTAATCTTAACTTTTCTGAAGTCCATGGTGAGGTACAGTATATATGGTTTGCAGTATGTTCCAGGTTGGTAAATTCTTAAGTTCTACATGACCATGGGGTAATTTTTAAAGCATGCGACTGGATAGATAATGGACATTCGGGGGGGAAAAATCTGCAGGTAAAAAGTGATAGATGTGCACCTCAAGAAACAAAGAAGAAAATTAGACAGGTTACATGTATCTCTTTATGAAGAAAATGGACTGTTTACATGTATCTCTCCGTGAAGAATTTGTCCATATTGGAAGAAGGAACAAATAGGAGCACATATTCCTTAATAACGACGACAACAACAACTACAACAAACGACAACAACGACAACAATGACGACAACAACAACAACAACAACAACAAGCCAGGCCAAGGCTCAGTTACTCGGTGGGTCTGCAATGCATGCTTAGTGGTACGGCCTAAAACTATGTAGGCTAACAACCGTGACCGACAGAACTTGAGCTGTTCTGAACCAAGGCAGCACTGCTAGCAGGATACAGGAGAGCAATCCATGGTAAGACTGGGCCCATTAAAACCTGAATAGGTCTGATGACAGCACTATGACATGGCAAGGAAGCATCACCATCAACTACTGACTGCCCACCACTGACTGTGGGTAGAGAAAGCCCTTCCTTCGGGGGGGGGAGCTAAGGGAAGGAAAACCCCAGCAGAAAACCACCAACAATGTCTGTCTCAAAGCAGACAGGCTATCATAGTACCTGGCTGTAGGTAATAAACAGCAACTTGCTTATGCATAGCGTTTCAGTACGAGTTTGAGTCTCATAAGAAATTTTCCACCAGCTTGGTTGTTACCAAGGTTAACAAACTCCTAAGTTCATAGCTTAGGAAGTGGGCCATGTTAGAAAAGTCAGCTACATTCTCCCTTTGAAACACCTGTTGCCATTGAGGAGAAACACCGTAGTGCTGCTGCTGAAAGCTAGTGCTGTCAGGCAAGCTCAAATATGAGCATCTTCTCTCTCCATGACCTTGCACTGGACCAAGACACAAGTCAGGGTTTTTATTCAGAGCCAGGAGTTCCAAAAAAGGCCATTCTGGAACAAGATGGAATACACTCTGGAATACAGAAGAAAACAGCCAGATGTAAGAAACGGGCAAAAGAAGATAATGAGGAGATTGTGCACCTATTCTATAATACTAATGATGCTTGTCAAGACCTAGAAAGACCAGGACAGAGTCTACATGCTGCTTATACAGATGTATACCAAGGACACACTTTGTCAGAAGGAATTACAGACCATGAGCACACCATAAGGGGAAAAAAATCATGTTTGTTTGAAAAATAGGGAGAAAATATAGAAAGAAAAACTGGGAAAGGTTTAGTTGACCATGAGTGTTTCCCAGAGGAACACAATTCCTTTAACCACAATAAAAGCCGCTCTGAAGTCAGTACAGCAGAACTCCCTGAGATATTTGGCAACCCAACAGAAATAATAGAGAATAAAGCATTTTTGTGCAATGTGATGGAATCTCCCCAAACCACAGATCTCTTGTCCCCTAAAATAATTACCAACAAGTATGTCAACAATGTAATTCCTCCATCATATTTGCTAGCAGTGACTAGGAAAGGATTTCCCTACCACCCTTATTTTTATTTTGAAGAGAAAATCTAAAGTTCTTAACTGTATGATCCCCTTGTTAACCTACATCACATGTCCACATTTTTGTACTCAGTTCAAGTTTCCCATTATTTGTTTTATTTGTTGATTCTTAAAATACTTTTGTATCATGTTCATCTCACAGTAACAGGGCACTATACAAAATGTATCCCCAAATACTAATCCTATAAAATATCTTGACCAGTTTTCCACAAGCCTTGTAGCACAGAGAGGGCATGCGTCATACAAATATGTTGAATTTCATCTTACATAAATGCCACACGTGTATGTACTGGTATGTTCTTTTCTGTCAGCAGAACTTTTAAAAGGTGGTGGCCAAATTTTCTCCCATGGCAATTTTGCAAGCAGATCTACTATTCTGTTGCTCTGTTGAGACATCATTGTGCTTGACTTTTGATAACATCTGATGTGAGCTAGTATTTTTGATAGAAAAATAGGACAAATGATGCTACCAATATAATTATTCTGAGATCATTTTCTATTCCTCCACCACCCTGCAGTTTTTGTTGTACTCACTGATAGTAGGCTGCTTCTGTGAAATAAATATTTAAATTTGAAAGATAAACTATAATTTTCTTTAATTCCTTGAAGCCATTTATTTATATAATTAATTTTTATACTCTCTGACTTAGTGAGAATTCTCTACTCTGGTCAGGGAACATATGAGAATTTGTAAGAAAGTTCGTCTTTGGCCGGGGGAGCACTTGTGGTATAGGCGGGAAAAAGACAAGGAGGCTCTTCAGAAATTCTAACCGTAACATTTTTATTAGCAACAGCACTTAACTTGACAGAATCAAACAGATCCTGTAAACAATCATCCGATAACAGTTTGTATTTTTTAGGTTTTACAACTGGGGGGTATTCCGTACTACCTAAAAGGGAGCTGGTCCAAAACGTTCCCGGTCCTTCAAAGACCTGAGGGGGGCACTCCGCACGGCGCATACCACCTAAAAGGGAGCCGGTCCAAAACGTTCCCAGTCCTTCAAAGGCCTGAGGGGGGCACTCCGCACGGCGCATACCGCCCCGCAGCACGGATGCCTGGCCCAATCCCCTTCTGGGGGTTTCTGTTGGAAGGAAGGTCCAGGCCAGATTACCCTCCTCCCTTCATGGTGATTCCTGGGGTAGACTACTACGGTCCATTCCAGAGGATCGTATCCTCTTCCTTTACCTCCAGGTAATATTGGATCTGGTAGCAAGCCTCCACCTGCAGAGAGGTTAGGGAATTCCGCAGCTATTCCCGACAAAGATCCCGGTCCAAGAATGGGCTCCGTTTGTACCCCTTGGTGCACCTTTCCTTCCACCTCCGTGTCTGACCAGAGTCTAAAAACACGCACGCTTTTGTCTTCCTCTATCTCCTCCCACACGATGAGGTCTAGCTCCTCCTGCACACTTTTGTCTTCCTCTATCTCCTCCCACACTATGAGGTCTAGCTCCTCCCCTCCCTCATCAGCTAGGCAGACTTCAGCAGGCTTCACCTCGAATCCTTCCGCCTGTTCTATTTCTATTAGGACCCCCTCTACACACCCACTCTCCTCTACAGTCTCTCTCTTCTCTGAGGACGGCGCACTCCTCACGTTCACAGAATTAGACCCTCAACAAATACTTTCATCCCCCAACATCAACATAAAATGACAAAATACAGGTGTGGAGAACAGCAGAGTATGAAAACTTTACCACGATCCACAAAATCAAATAGCAACAGAAAATTAAGCTCTGAAAGAAATAATACATTCCTAACACAGAGGTAAGCTGTTTTGAAAGGCCTCTTTATAAACTTCCGCTTTCACCCATTTTCCAAAGATAGAGAGGGACAGGGCCTGGTGTACATCCCAAAGGGACATGGCCACCACTGCGAAGGCCTGGTTTCTAGTTCATGTTTTTCTGGCTTCTCTCAGTGTGGCCACCCTAAGAAGCGTGGGAGGAAACAGTGGTCCAGATAGTAGTTCTTTGGGAGAAGTGTTCCAAAAGATACCAAGATCCCAAATGTTGTAGGGGCTAATAAAAGGCTGTCATACAGAGGAGGGGCAGGATCTGTTCTCAATCATTCCAGATCACAGGGCATGCAGGACCTATTCTTAATCATCCCACATTTCTGGCTAGTTGGCATCCCCATCTGTGCATAAATGTGCAATGACAATAGGAAAGGAGTTACATCATACTGCTTCTTCCTTCTTGCAGCAAATAGGTTCTGTCACTGCTACTATCAAACTACATTTAGACTGGTGTTACATCACTTTTGGTTGCAGTTAAAATGGGAAAAGCCCTCACACTTTGCCAGGAGCAGATGTCTGCTAGGATTATTCTAGCTTTCTTAAAAGAAATGCCTACAATTGATTCCTCATTTCACTCATCCCTCCCAAACCTCCTAGTCAACACTGTGTTTCCTAGTAACAGATCAGACAAGGATAAACATCCAACATTGTGCTGGCATTGGAGCAGCAGTGGCTATTGCCAAGGCAACAAAGACTTCTGATATCAGGTCTTCAGTAAGATATGAAGGGGGCGGGGGGAACCCAAATGATCAGAGAGGTATTTATGGCAACAAATCCTGCAGCATTTGTTCACACAGCACCTAGTTCTGCAAGTTTAATCAAAGAGCACATTATTCTTAAGCCATTGTATCAGAAATAAAATGCACTGACTAGTTAACAGAAAGAAAGTCTATTGGGGTTTCTTTTTTCAGATTTCATTTAAAAGAAACATATTTGTACCTTTGTTAAAATTCACAGATTTGATCTGCAAAAGGGGGGCCCTGCAACCTCAGGAGACATTTAAAATCCTTAACATTTCAGAAGCAGGAGCCTGAAGAATACCGTAAGTACACTGCAGGTATCCATTGCAAACTGAATTCAAGTGGTTCCACAGATCCACATTGTACAAATCGGGGGCACAGCTCCACTGGCATTTTAAAGCAAAGTACTCTTTGCTTTAAAATCTGTAGCTTGCATTTGTTTCACACCACCCCTCGACCACAGCTGACATCTGTGTTGTTCAATGCTGACAGATGAGGTATTAAAAGATCACTTTCCTCTTTTTTCTAGGTCACCAAGTGCCTTCTCCAACCTAAACCAGACTGCTGAAGATGTTTGTCTCTCAGTAGCACATTTTATCCTCATGCAGACACTATACACTGCTTCTCGTTAGCACACTAGAACTGGAGTCTCTACAGTTCTCGTGTGCTAGTGTAAGTCCAATAGACTGTTTGATTCAGCCCAATGAGTGGGGAAATCCTATGAGGGGGTTGTGAGTCAGGATCTGAGTTAGAAAGAGCCGGAGAGGCAGGCGCTCCATCCTATGAGAAGGCTGAAGTCGTTACCACCTTGGGTTAGGTAGCAGAATGTTTATGCAAAAGGGGGGCCACTGGAATCCGCATCGTGACCTTATGTATTTGCATTTTATTTTAGAGTTTTAGAAACAGTCTATTTAGAGCTGATTCCTTGATGTTGTGGATGCCCCACCTCGGTCAATAAATACATTTTGGACTTTCCCATTTGGTTTCAACAAGACATTTGAATTATTCTTTATTTCTTCTCTTGCTCTGGTGCTAGTGAAAAGAACTTGGGGTGTACCAATTGTAGCCTCCAGTGTTGTTATATAGCATATCACCATTGTTGTTTTGTTATATAAGGATAGACAGACAGACAGACAGACAGACAGACAGACAGA